AAAAAAAACAAATAATTGTTTAAAAAAATACATTGTAAATAATTACATACTTTTTCTTAAAAACAATTATTTTTTTTAAACTAATTGTTTTTGTCTCATTATGTCAGATTGAGATATAAAATAACTCAAAAAGTATTTAATAAAAAAATACTTTATTATAGTGTTTTGAAAAGCTCTCAAAGTAAGCTACCAGAATATGTAAAAATATATAGGGTATTCCATTTAAGAAATTCAAAATGATTTTTACCTGACCTTCATGTGACTCTTCAAGGTCAAACTAATGGCACCATCTTATGACCCCCTTAGAACCGAACAACTTTTGTCTGAAACATTTCTTTCTATCTTGCTTTATTTTTTAGATATTTAGGTGTCTCAATATAAATGCCACACCCTGTATATAGACAATAAAAACTTTTGTTTATTAGTAAAAGTCATAATTTAAAGTTGTCCTTCCCCATATTCACGGTAATAATTTTATAACCGACACAATACACATGACGAATCGATAAACGTTTCTTTTCAAAGTGAAACATCCCTCACGAGTGCACGCACAAGACTGAAGCATGAAACCGCGTCGCTGGAAAGAAGCATCTCTACGCTTGCGCAGACTTCGATCGAGAAGCTATCTTATGTATGTTTCCCCATGCGTGAAACAAACACTTGTCAAATTTCTTTCTATGTGAAATCGATCGGCCCTTTCTTGATAAAATTGTTAAAGTACAGGAGCTTTGTTTTCAATATTTTGTATTCCCTTTAGTTATTACATATAGCTATTACATATTTTTTATAAAGCAAGCATTATTTGTTAAATAAAACAAAAAAAGATGGCCCGAAGAATGAGAACAAAACGTTTTTTGTTTCATATTGATAGATTATAATAAACTATTTTTGCGCCTCACTTACTGCGCGTGGCTTTTATTGCCTTTTGTATTTTATTTAATTTAAAAAAACAGTGTTTTTTTAAACGCTATTTCTTTAATAAACTGATTGATTGCAGTTCACAGCGCTTATAACTACAGAACAGAGTTGGGCAAAAATGTAATCTAATTAACAATTACAAATTACAATTACAATGTAATTCTTAATGCAATTAATAATTACATTTTATAATCGATAAGTATTGCAAACAATTACATGAGATAATTGCGAAAAGTAATTGTGTACAAATTACAATTACGTAATTGTTAATTGATAATTGATTAAATATAATTATAATTGTAATTGTAATTAGAATAAGAGCGACTAAGAGTACGCGTCGTCTAAAAGTACGTATGATTAATATCTTGACTAGGGATGGGATCAAGTTCAACACATATTTATGAATCTCAGTTTAATTCAATAACTAGATTTTATTTTATTGAAATAAGTAATATTTATAAAAAACATGTATTTAATTTACAATGTGTACACATATACAGGGTGTCCTAAAACTACCGTACTTCCTTTTAATAGTAGATTCCTTAGAACATTTCAAGACGAAAATATTAATACAAAAATGTTGAGGCTATAATAGTTTTTAAACAGGAAGCGATTATATTTTACGAATGGCAAGGCTGAGATTTCGCGCGCTCAGGCACGGCGAAATAGTAGACACCTTCATGGTAACATTAATCGACCACTTTGACAGCTGAAGTCGAAACATGTCGCAAATTTTTACTTGAATCATTTTTGAGATGCCTTCTTGCATCCATTATTCGTAAAAAGAATGTACTAATACAATGCGTAGCGGGAAAACATACAATGACAATGCTATTGTAAATTTATACGATAATCATAATATCATAAAAAAGGCGCCTATTTAATCAAATACATTAAAATCGATTAACTCCCAACTCTGCTACAGAGTGCATACTTGAATTCATCATCAAAGTTTTTTCTATCGCAATGTTTTTTAGTTCTAATGATTACACTTGAAATTAGACAGATTACAATCGCGATACAAATTAAACATTTCAATTAATCCGATTAATCATTTTGTGATTCTTAACCTACATATATTAACCATATTTCTATTAAAATAAAAATTATAAAAATTGCATTATAGAAAATATTTGTACATATATTTCTAACCTTGTTTAATTATTAATAGAATTATTATTATATGTATTATTGTATTAAAAATATACAAAATTTTACAATCAATATTTTGCAAAAATATTAGAGCAAAAAAATGATTAAAGCATCAAACAATAAAATTATTTTAAAAAATATCGATATATTTGAAACATACATAAACACAACATATTTTGGAACATAAACAAATAGTAGTATGTAATTATTCCAATTCCTATTTATGTAACTATTTCTTTTAAATGTTTTTAGCTATGTGCGGTGCATTTATTACCATTTTCAATTGAACCACTGTCAATTTGGCCACAAATTCTTGATACTGATTTGTATATAAACGAGTCTCAGCTACGGCAGACAATGCAAATCGTGACTGATAATGAGTATTTTGTCGATCAAGAAAAATATTTTTATTTAATTTGCTTCATACAAATGCAGTTATTTGTATTGGGATGACTACGTTGACCGGGACGGGAACGATGTTTGTAGGATATATGCATGTGGAATGTTTAAAATTACAAGATGAAAAAAATAACTTTAGGAATAATTATACAAAAATTACAAACAAATCTTTCGTGTATTTTTTTTTTTTGATGTATCAAATTAACCAATTGTGTAAAAATTATTCAGTGTGCCCACAAAGTAAATAATATTTCTTTGCATTTTTTTCCTATTTAAAAAAAAATATGGTATTTTTTATGGAATCAAGAAGCTTAAATTTTTTTGATTATACAAGAGTCATAATATTTTTCAGAAAAATAAGAGAATAATAATTAAACATTTTTAAATGGCACTTTAAATTCACACTACTCATTTCAAAAGTTCTAAAAGAGATTTTGTTTTTACTCCAAGCTAATACAATGTTAACGTCATTTCAAAATGGAGAGCGTGCAACAGACTTAAAATAAAATTTCACGTATTTTTAAAAAAATTTTTGCCACAATTACAACAATCAATTAAAGATATGTGTCGTGTGATATTAAGCGCTGCTCGATTTAAAGAAAATTTTTAAAAAGATTTATTTTTTTGATTTTTGACTATTCTGTATGCATAAGAAAAAATGTTAAAATTTAAATTCGTCATATCTTTAATGAAAAGTAAATTTATAAAAACAATTATTTTAAAGAAACGAAATGATTACTAATTAGATTCTCTGCACCACAGAATAAAATATATAATATCGACAAGTGTTGAAAAATGAATTAATACATCACTATAATGATATCCATTTTGTTTTCTGATTGTTGCACTGCTTATGAAATAATAAAGTCAAGAATTCACAATCATTTCATTTCCGAAAATAGACATCTATTTAATATTTAATTATTAAATTAGGTATATTATTTTAAATATATACATATATAATATGTCATATATGCTTGAGAAAGCATGTAACACACATACACACACACATACAACGAATGATATTTTATAATATACAGTTGGCCTTAAATGTATTCGGAATTAGCATTTGCATATTTAAACAAATATAGTCAACTATACCTTATATAATACTTTCGAGAAGATAGTTTCTCTTCTAACTAATTGCCAACACACGTGAGACTCGAATCGTCATGACGTACCTCTCTAAAGCCAAGTGTTCGCTACGAGCGTAAACACAAGAATGAAGCATGTGAACTATACTGGGAAAAAAGGCGATTGCGCTTGCGCCGACTTCGATCGCACAGCTATCTGACAATGAGTATCTGTATGTGTGTGTAAAATACACATTTATTAAATTCTTCCTATGTAATATCGATCGCTTAATACCTTCTTCTCATAAAATTGTTAAATTACAAGAATTTTATTTTCATTATATTTTATGACTACGAGCGTAAACACAAGAATGAAGCATGTGAACCATACTGGAAAAAAGGCGATTGCGCTTGCGCCGACTTCGATCGCACAGCTATCTGACAATGAGTATCTGTATGTGTAAAATACACATTTATTAAATTCTTCCTATGTAAAATCGATCGCTTAATACCTTCTTCTCATAAAATTGTTAAATTACAAGAGTTTTATTTTCATTATATTTTATGAAATTTGGTATCTTGAATTAAATAATTTATGATAGAATGTACTCTAAAAAAGCAGAAAATGTTCAAGAATATATACTTAATTTAAAAAAGGAAATAGAGAGGATAGAGGCGAATCTTTATCGTTTTCTCCGCAGTTCCGCACGTTTCTATATGCTCGAACAGTAATGATCTGCCTTGAGACGCAACATTTTAATCACAATCGGACTCTCTTGCTCGCAATCGGCTTATGGCCATATCAGAAATCAAAATTAGTTCGACTTCAGATAATCTTGTTTTTCGGTATTTTGATAAGTTTTGTTATATTCCAGGTACGTCTCCATATTTTTAATCGTGTTATTATAAAATATGCACATCTCATTACTAATTTAGTAAACGCTCAATTTTATCAAAATTTTTAATTATAATCAAAGTTTATATTTAATTTTTGATAATAGAATATATTGCAATTCCAATAGATAAATATTAAAATTTTAATACGTTATTAATATTTATTATACATCACAAAACAGATAATTGTTTTAATCTTAGTAAAACATTGATGTTTTCTTAATCCTTAATACAATGTTTTTAATAAATTAATTGATTGAAGTTTACAGCGCTTATAACCAGAAGATGCACTGTTAATTTTATTATCAAAGTTTTTTCTACCATGATATTCTCTAGTTTGTACGTAATTATGTACAACATGTTCTGGATTAACAGTCATCGTGTAAGTTAATTCTTTATTACGGTAAATGCGTACAAATAAATATTTCAAAAAAATTACAATTTTTCTATGGCAATATTTTTTAACTTTTCCGAAACAGTATTAAATATTGTTGTGATGGTAGGTGAGAAATTTGTTGGAGCAACTACAATATGTCTGTAATGAGCTACAAGACGAAAACGAATATACTATCATTAAAAAGTGTGGAAATAACACAAAATTTTGTACACTTACATGTACAGGTGAGACAGTATTTCTTGCTAACTACTATATGTTATAAAATTGAGAAGATTCTAATTTTGAGAAAATTTGAATATTTTGATTAGTCTGGTTAACTATATTTTGATACTTAGCTGAAATAAAATATACCTTTCCAAAATAATAAAACTATAAAACTTGCTATATATATACATTGTTATGATCTTTTAAACATTAAGTTTTGGTGCTGCGATGTTATGCCGCTTGTCGCGGTGATCATGAAGATGATCTCTAGGACAACGTACGAGTGTATTTTGGTCAACAACGGCAGACATATTAGAATTAAATCAGCTGTAGAGTCGTTCGAGCGCGTTATTGACAGCTCCGTTCTTTTAAATTGTTTTCTCTCTCCTCACTGTTTCTCGTGTTATCTTATCCTTTAATAAAGTTCCTTAAGTGTTTCTTAAGTGAGTGTTTCTCTTGCTGAAAGGGTTGGTGGTGTTGCGCGCTTTCAATTAATCGATATCGATTCGCGGACGTAACATTTTGGGGGCTCGTCCGGGATAGAAGACGACGCAATATTTTTTTGAAAAACTCGAACGCTATCATTATAATGAGAGCAATAAGACTCTCAATCTGACAACGCGGGAGTGACAACGCGGAAGAGGTTGCGTGCTGCGACTCCCCTTCGAGCTGCGACTCCTGAACCATTGGCGGCGGCAATAACTCTCTAGGTGGCGATTCAAGAAATTCAGAGAGACACAGCAACAACAACGAGTTGAATTTGAGACATTTTTGCGCCAGCGAGATGAGGAGATCCGTCGGATGAGGGAGAATCTTCAGCAGCGGGATAACTAGCTAAGTCATTTTCAAAACAGAAACTCATTAGAGTATAGAGGTCGCGGAACTTTTAATTCTAACAAACTGGGTTTTAAATTAAAACTGGATATTTATGATGAAAATGTTTCCCTCCGCGAGTATTTTGCACAATTCAGTTTGACAGCGGTAGTGAATGCTTGGAATGATTCGTTAAAAACTGTGGCGTTAGCATCGAGTTTAAGAGGAAAAAGACGATCTGTTTTGGACGAGGTAATAGAAATTGAAAATTTTCATTTCAAAGAATAGAAAGAAGAACTCCTAAGTTACAAAATAATTGAGAGGTCTTTATAAGATAATCAAAAAAACTTAGTGATGCTATTTATAGAATTCCAAAGTCAAACAGACATAAAAATAAAGTCGTTCATGCCGATAGATTGGTCCCTTATCATGAAAGACAAATTTGATTAAAAAATTTTGAGACTTGGATTTCGATAAAAGATAAAAATACGTATCTGGACAATGCTAGATAATTTAATTGAAAACAATATTATTAAGGAATTCTATTGTTTGTCTTGTTGTTTTCTCTTCTTGTAGCATAATTTTGAACGTGGAATTTGAGATGAAATCACTTGATCTGCAGAAGTTTTTTTCTTCTGAGTGGAAACTGCCTCACCCACGGTTTTTTATCCGTAGTTTTCCCGTTGAATCGTAGGGCGA